TCCTGTGTATACAGTATCTGTAACAGTAAACATGTCAGGATCGACTGTAAGTAGGTCACGGTATCTAGTTCAGTGTATACAGTATATGTTACAGTAATCAGGTCATCATTGACCATAAGTAGGTCACACTTACTAGGTTAAAGTGTACAGTTAGTGTATGTAATAGGAACCGTCTCAAGACCGATTGTAAGGAGTGCAATAGCAGTAAATCTGTTTCCCTACGTAGAATGTACCTAAGGATCCTGCGTAATTGTCTGCCTTAGTTTCCATCTAAATGTCGGACGTAAATTGTATTAACTCAATATATTTATATCAATATATATATGTAATTGTATTATAGAATATATTTGCATATACCATTATATATACATCTACGAAATATCTAGTTTTGAAATTCATTATTTGGATAAACCGGTGATCTGTAGATATCCGTTTTGTAAATGAATCCATTTTGTAAATTTGTGATGAACTGAACCATTTTTACGTTTTTTGCAATGTAAGACAATGCAACTGCTTCCCCGTTTTGAAAACAGTGCCTTAAAAGTTCATGAATATCAATTGAAAACTTGTTGATAGTTGCGCCGAAATTTACACACTACGGAGAAATTTACAAGAACGTGGACATGCGAGCTGAGGTTGCTGTCCTGACCAGGAATGTGGTGATTGAAGGTGTAATGGAAAACTTTGCAGACGAATTCGGCGGTCATATCAAGGTAAATAAGTATAGAAGGCATGCCAAATTAAATACGTGAATAAGCAATTCAACGCATTAAAGCGATCCTAGTATTTTGGTCTCATTTTTGATTCATTACATATATATCAAGTAGAAAATGTTCGCTAACTGACGAGCTTTTCACAATATTACCTTAAGGATGCCCGTACCACTGCCAAAAACTGTAACTGAAGTTTGGAAATAATTTTCCGGCTTAACTTTTGATAAATCATTTCTAAAAAATCAAATCATACCTTACGGGACTTCAGATTGTTATACTATGGCTCTAACCGACTGAGCTACCTAGTCCACGGGAGTGGTCCGGGTCCAATTGTGCTACAGCTATATCCAAACAAAAGTTAAGGAGGGAAGGTTACTGTATATATGAAAAACTACAGTATTGTGGGACAGGGATCCCAAAGTCAAAAGGCTTCTTAACTTATAAGAAATAATTCTGCTTTTAGGTTTTGAAGGGATTTAAGGACTTCCACATTGAGGGCGCGGAACTCACACATATGGGACAGTCTAAATCCGAAGGTATTGTAATATTAAAATTCAGACTCCGCTTTTAATCATGCGGTTTAAATTAGTAGATTTGATGACAATTGTCTTACAAATCCAAAATGAATGTCGGTCCCTACTGTTTTGGTAAAGCAGCGTTTCTGTTGTAGGGAAATACCCAATACACTGGCATCTCTGTGAAGATGTGGAGGATTTGAATCTCTACCCCTCCACTACATACGCCCGTGGGAACGCAATCCACCAATCGTACGCCAGATGTGTCACCGTACACGGCACCCACGGGGTTCAGGTAAGGAAATGCAACTCCCACCCAGCGTCTCTCTTCACGTCACAATCCAATCTGCTCATAACACCTCCACAAAGTGTGACCGTGTTGCTTCACACGCTGCAAATGCAAGTGTTTGCCCGCGAGGTGTCTCTGTGTTCGAAAATGTAAAGCTTAAGGAATTATAAACAATTTTAGGCAGTTGCCATGGTTTACACTCCTACGGTAAAATAATCACAACAGGTACGACTGATCGCGTCAAACTGCACTAGTAAAGGTAAGCAAAACTCAGTAGGTGTCGCTGAGCATACGTCAACTCATTGATATGGTAAACAATGCCGCTTGATACGTACTGTATATCACTGTTGTTTTTATAAAGTTTTCCCATTGCATATCGCAGTCTACGCGTCACACTGTGTTATGATAAACAAATCCCTCTTGATGTCACCAAAAAAGAAAGGGCTAAAGGAATTAACCCTGCTCCCTAATTATATTGAGAGTAATTAAATATCCTTTCTAAATTAATTACTAACGTAATTGTTTGGACGATACTGATCTGGTGTATACGATGGATAATATGTTTTAGGTGATGGATAATGTCTGCTTCGACAGCATCGGTCACGGGTTTTTCCTGGAGGATGGCGGGGAGAAATGGACAACAATAACAGGCAACCTTGGAGCAGCACAACTGTTTGGCGACCTTATACCCACTGACAACATGTAATTAACCTAAGTCATAGATTTAAGGAAATGAAAAAAAAAAAAAA